TCAGGCTCGATTCCTCACGCCACGCCAACAACAATATCAGACGTCATCAGAAGGTACGATCCTGCCCCCTGCGAGCAGGCATGTCAGGTGACACTAAACTCCCCTATAAATACCCTTGCGTTCTAAGCGCAAGGAAAAAAAGGGAGAACTCCGGCGACCACGGACTAACTTAATCATCGGAGGGGTAGGGTCGAGCGTCTCGACTCGACCTCTATGTAGGGACAAAGACGATGCACCCCTCTCCGAACGCATTGGCGAGGAGCCCCTTCCCGAAGGAAACGACGACCCACCTCCACGACCGAACCGACCTGAGCCGGCAACCTCTGCAGTCCCGAGGAACCCCCCCCTAAGAGATCCCCCGTCTTCCGGACTCGAACCGAACCACGTCGGCCCCGAGGCCACGGCTTAAAGTTGGTTACACCAACAAAGGCTAAGAGGGGTTGGATGACCTCTCATGGGCTGTGAGAGCAAAGTCGGACAGGAGGTAAAGGTGACGAAGCCACATGGCTGAGGTGCACAAGCATTCGAGTGGATAGTAATGGAGTGATCGAACAAGATCTTTCCATTCAGATGATAGCTTTTCATACTCCGAAATCGCTCTGTCCATTCAAAGAGATACTAATCTTAAATAAGTCAATTAGATTATCATGCGAATCTAGAAGACCAATCAATTTGAACCCACATAGGGTTTTTGGGGACCTGAGCGTAATGAAAGACTACACGATATCACTGGAAGACAGATTCTGAGCGCGCTCACGTGCTCCTGCTTTTATTGCGCGGCCCTACGTTTCCGAATCTCCAAGTATGAGGTTAGTAGATCTAACCCTTGGAACTTGATCCAACGGACGTCATGACAGAAACCGTAGTGGTTCCCACGTGACAACGAGACACTATTTGCATAGGTGCTATACACTATATGCACAGGTGCTCAGCAATTCCTAGTTGGCGGTGAATGGGGGCAGGTTCGGATCGGGCACATGTGGATTTGGATCTGAATCCGATAAGTTTATGATCTTTATCTGATTGGATAAAGCTATGGAGCATTAAAATTGGAATTTGTCCCCGAAACTTTCGGATCCGGATCATGTGGCTCCGTCAACCCCCAGCAGCAATCCGAAATTAAAATAATCCCTTGCTGCACATTATACCAAAGCTAACGGCTAGTTGAGTTATTGAATCCCATCACCTCGCTGCCACTTCTACTGAGACCTCTCTCTCTCTCTCTCTCTCTCTCTCTCTCTCTCCGCCTGCCAAACCTTACTGCCCCTCTTATCTGTAAAGCAACGGGAGAAGAGAAGGGAGAACGGATCAGCGAGCTATGGCGGAGGAGACGGGGTTGGGGTACGGCGGTGGTGGGGAGGCGGCGGATGGGTCGGTCGGACTCGAGGCGGCGATCCAGGCGCTGAACACCATCATCCAGCTCCACTTCGAGAAGATCCTGGAGAAGAAGCGGGAGGTGGACGAGCAGAAGAAGGAGATGTGGCGCCTCTTCCAGCTCTTCTTCCTTTTCCTGGCGGTGGTGCTCGCCGCCCAGCTGGGGGCGCCACCCGAGCGCCTCCAGTGCCGCCACTGCTGGGCCCCCATCGGCCTCCTCTCCCTCGGCCACCTGGCCTTCTACGTCGCCGTCGCCCAGACCCTCCGCTGCATCAACGGCTTCAAGTACCAGCGCCGCTGCCACAAGCTCACCCTGGCCCTCGCCACCGATCGCCTCAAGCTCCTCAAGATGCGCTTCTCCTCCTACTCCGCCGTCGCCGCGGGCGCCGACCCCCCGCCCGTGCTGCCGCGCGACTTCGAGATCCATTACCAGGAGCCGCCGGACAGCTACCTCGGCAAGTTCAAGCGCAGCTGGGCCATGCATTTCGGCTTCCTCATGTGCACCTTCGGCGTCATGGTCTCCGCCTCCGTCGTCCTCCTCTGCTTCTGAAAGCTTCCCAAAGCTTCCGCTGCCGCAGCGCATCCCATCCTTCTCCTGTTGCTGCCAGTGGCCCACAGTAGTTGACCCATGCTACTTAGCATGCTTGGTTGTAGACATGTCAAGTGTTTATGTAGAAATTGTTTGATTTAGCATGGTGATCTGGTCTAGTAAAGAATGCATTATCCGGTCCGACTCATCGCAGCGCGAGACAATCGAACGAGCCCAACCGAGATTAGACCGGTCACCGTCCGGTTTTTTTCCTCTCTCGCTGGAGCACGCATAATAAGCACCGTCTCACTCTCGCTCACTCAATTATTTCCATGGAGGAGGGGTCGCCATCATTGCCTTTCCCATCCCTATCGGTTCCCCCTTTCTTAGGGCATCTTGCAGATCCACAAATCCGGCTTGCTCGAAGTTCCATCTGGCTTGCTCCGTTCCTTCTCCGATCCCGAGTTCTGTAAGAAGAATCGTCGTTGGGTCATGTGATCATGCCGGCCACGGACTACCAGGGCTCTTCTATCCCTTTCGCCTCCATCGGCCGGTCCATCCTGAGCATCCGCCGTGACCAGGTCCACGCCGTCGACAGCCAACAACATGACTCTTCCTCCGGTGACCTCGGGGTTGAGGCCTTCCAGAAGCACGTCGCCGACCTCTTCCTCGACCTCGCTTCCGCCTCCTCGTCTTCGACGGCCGATGAGCTTCTCTCCCTCGCTTGGGTCCGCAAGCTGCTCGACAGTTTTCTCATCTGCCAGGAGGAGTTCCGGGGCATCCTCTTCGGCTGCGGCAAGGGCCAGGAGATGATGCTCTCTCGGCGCCCCCTCGACCGTTTCTTGTCCGACTTCTTCGACCGCGCCGTCAAGGCCCTTGACGTCTGTAATGCCGTCCGCGACGGCGTCGACCAGCTGCGCCAGTGGCGCCAGCACCTCGAGATCGCGCTCGCGGCCCTCGGCGGCGGCCGGCCCCTCGGCGAGGGCCATCTGCGTCGCGCCCGCAAGGCCCTCACCGACCTCACCATCCTCATGCTCGACGAGAAGGAGGCCGCCGGAGGGCCCGCCCTCAGCCACCGCAATCGCTCTTTCGGCCGCGCTGGCAAGGAGCCGCCTCACCACCGGCGTGGCGGTAGTGGTGGCGCCGCAGCCTCGTTGGGGAACTTCCGTTCCCTATCCTGGAGCGTCTCCCGGTCATGGTCCGCCGCACGGCAACTCCAGGCAATCGGGAACAACCTCGCTGCGCCACGGGGCAACGAGGTCGCCGCGACCAACGGCCTGGCCGTCCCCGTGTACACTATGGGCTCCGTGCTCTTCTTCGTGATGTGGGCACTCGTGGCAGCGATCCCGTGCCAGGACCGTGGCCTGCAGACCCATTTCTCGGTCCCTCGGACCTTCCTCTGGGCCGCGTCGATCACGTCACTCCAAGAACGTATCTTTGAGGAATCGAAGAAAAAGGACAGGAAGAACTCGTGCGGGCTGCTAAGGGAGATCCACCAGGTCGAGAAGTGCAGCCGCCACTTGTCGGAGTTGTTGGACCTCGTCGAGTTCCCATTGACGGAGGAGAAGGAAATGGAGCTGAGGCAAGCGGTAGAGGAGTTGGCGGCGGTTTGCAATGTCTTGAAGGAGGGACTGGACCCGTTGGAGCGGCAGGTGAGGGAGGTCTTCCTCAGGATCATGAGGAGCAGAACCGAAGGCTTGGAATGCCTGAGCAGGTCACACGACCCCGAGTGAATCACGTCAACCTATGTGCGCCGCAGGCGTGTGCATCTGCATTTGGTTTTGGGCGAGGCTGTCTATGGGAAGAAGGCGATGATGAATCAAACGCCTTCTCGGACTAGTAAGATGAAGCAATTAATGTTGCTCTTGCACTTGGGTTTGATCACGGGTTGTGCAGAGACGCAGGGAGGAAAGCAGCTTCCTTTCCAGTGTTCTTCTCCAACAATTTTATATATACTGTACTCGTTTCCTGCAAATTTCATCTTCCTTTGCTTCTTCTTTGGCATGTTTCTTTGGTAATGGCATGCATGGCTTCATTGTTTTATATTATCTAACATTGCAATTCATTAGGATACCGTCATGATTTTGCTTGGCAAGTTAAGGCGATGCAACGCAAGTAGTTGTCATCCTAGATAATGATCTTACATGGATTTTGTCTACGATTACTACTGGTCACTACTTAATCGATTAAACTTCAAAACAAGTGCAAGTACTTTGATTGAAAACAAGTACAAGTACCTTTCGAACCATATTCATCTAATTGTGGTGATTTCGTACTGGCTTCAACTTAGATGATAAGTAGGGCATGATGTCTGAACTGAAATCTTCATAAGTAGTTTTTATTGCTTTCAGCTCATTGGAATCTAAGCTTTGTCTATTAAAACATATGCTATGTGAAACGGCAAATCATTGAATTGAGGAAACGGAAGAAAGCCACAGAGGTTGATTTGTTTCGTCCGCGGACCTTTGACCACGTAGCCAGTCTTCTGACTCATTCCCTTGGTTGACCACGGGGACCTGTTGACTTGGCTCCTTCGGTATCATACGATCAATCTTGATACGATCAATCTTGTCTACGAAGAAAGCGAGTAAACTTTTTGTGAGTCAAATGGTATACCAACAATTCTCAAGCCCTCCTCGACTTAAAATATACCAACTTCGCACCGATACCGACAGCCGTCGACATCTTAGCGGCATTCCAAAGTCGTTCTTCGAAGCAACCCAACGTCACCAACGGAGAGGAAGAAGTCACTGCGAGTCTTCTCACCGCCTTCCTCGATTCCACTCTACCCATTTCTTTCTCTCTCAAAACGCGCTCCTCCAAGCGAGTCCACCTATATTTATACCGCAAAACCACCGAAAGGAACAAGGCAAGAAGTCGGAGATGGAGAATCGCACCTTCTCTTCCTTATTGTAGCTGTTCTTCTCCTCCTCCTCGAGAAAGTTCACTCCCCCCTCCTTTTCTATTACATACGGATAGGTAGAGTCCAAGATGTGCATGGGAATGAAGAAGGGACTGACGAAGCCGGACATGGAGGCAGCCCAGCAGCTGGTTCAGCTCAGCAGCGGGGAGGACGAAGACAGCGAAGAAGTGGAACACGCAGGCGGAAAGAAGAAGAAGAAGAACAAGAAAGACGAGGGAGGGAGAAGCCAAGTGGTAAGAAAAGAGGAAGAGGATGAAGAGGAACGAAGCCATGAGAGCTGGCCGAGAAAACGGCAGAGGTTCCGGTCGCTGGTGGAGATATACAAGGTGACGAAACCTATGAGCAGTAGTTGTCATGGCGATGCGAATAAGGGACAAGAGTAGGGGAAAGGGATGAGTGAGAAGTTAGGGAGCGGAGGGGATCGGAGGAATGTTTACTGCTAGTTATAGTCTCCTCTTTGAAACGCCAAAGAGATGTATACTACTACTATTTTGCATTGCCTGCATAATTAAAAGGGTTCTTTCTCATCGGCACTATGAAGTTTCTCGGTGAATGATTTGGGAATTCTGGTCCTCCGTTGGACTTTGATAGAGAAGCATTCATAGAGTAGCAAGAAAGCTGAGACTTGAATTATCTGAGGAAATTACCTTGGGTATATGCAATGCCGAAGACGGGCATGAGAACGCCTGCACGCTTCCTTCCGCCCTGAGGAGGAAACTGCACGCACAACAGGACTGGAAAGCTTTTCTCTGTAGCCCTTTCATTGCACTCACAAGAAGGCTTTGAAGAAGAACAGTGGGTGTGTGTGGAGAACACACACACACACACACAAGAAAACTTTTTTGCAATTGAAAAAGGAATAGTATTTTGGAAATTTAATACCTTCAATTTATTCTAAAATGCTTACTTCCGAGAACAATTTTTTTCAGAACTAGCAAACAAAAATGGTGGATTGATAAGATAATAGTAGGCATATGAAGTGTTCAAACCTATCCATCAGTAGTATGTTGCAAAATTTATTGGACACAGAAAACCAGTAAAAGAAAATCTTGCAAGGAAAGCTTCTACAATTAAAAACCATTTGAAGGCTCTCCTACAAAAAATAAAAATGATTCTCAAAATTGCAGAATGAAACAAGTGAATGACCCAGAAGAAACAACTATAATAGCTAACTTAACCATGGGCAGATAGCGGGAATCGAACCCACATCTTCTCCTTAGCAAAGAGAAATTTCACCATTAGATATTATCCGCCCACATAACACACATTCTTCATCATATATGCGACTGGATCATATGTAAAGGGCTAATTATTCCAACAATATGCTTGATGCCGAAGATAAATCTGGCAATGACATGAGCCCTAGCTACGATGATACTAAATGGAAAAACAGAAGAAATGCTTACTCATATAAATGTCTTCAGCTGCAAAAATGGAGATGCAATAGAACTGCCCTGACTTAGACGGAAGAAGAACCTCAAAAACTGTGAAACTTATATCTTGCTCGATGGGTTTTGCATTTTCAACTAATTCCAACAGTATATATCACACTGAAATCTGATTTGACAGCACGAAACAACTTGTAACATTATCAAAGATAATTGAAAATAAGAGAATTTAGCTCAGTGCATAATTAGTAGTTTTGTTGGGTTAAGCTTAAAGTTTCTTCAATGGATAAGTGGTTGTTTTTCTTATTTTCATGCCCGACCTTCCCCTTCTTTTATCTAGCAATACTCATGCTAACAACTAAATTAAAACATAAGGTTGATAAAAAAATGATTAAAAGGTCTCTAACAACTAAAGCTTCCTATGCTAACTATAAAATTCAAACATGTAAACCATCCCAAAATATTAAATAAAAATAATACCTGATGCTAACAAGTCTCAAACAGCTTTTACTTGAAAAGATAATGGTTGGACTATCAAGGCATAAAGAAGATAAGGAAATTCAGCAGCATCCTAAAGAAGTTGAAGAAGCAGTTAGTACAAGGCAGTACTTCCAGATGACAAAATGTAACCTTCTTGCTATCCTCATGTAAGCGCACCTGTAAAGGAAGAACAAGCAATGTCAAGCACCAAGGAATGGTGATTGTTTACTTGACTAGTGAAAATGACTAGCTTTACCATCACCAAACAATTCCAAACACAAAAAGTTTATCTTACTTTGTTGACACAGAAAATCTTTCAGCTTATTCAGAAGAATGATGGAATTTAAACAACCATACCTTTAGTGATATTACCCACAAGATAGATTACATTTGTTCACATCGGTGCCAAATTGAATCAATTTGTCCAAAAATATTTTTAAAAAAACCTTGAACTAAGAAAATGTATCTTGTACTTATTTTATCTTAGATTTTAAATATTATCTTACCAAGTTATCAAGTAATTCATCAGTGCTATTCCGCACAATTTTTTATTGTGCAATGAGAATCAGATGGTTCATTTTCTTTTTAATTCCATAGTCTATGACTCTATGTTGATATTGTAGCCTCCTGTTATTACTTTGTCCTTCAATTTCTGTAACATTAACTTTCAAATAAAACAAAAACTATTTTGAGATATTGGATTGCTCCTTGGCAACATGAGCGATCAAGGTTCAAACCTTGTTAACCTCCTTGAATATAGAGGTAAGTTGTGTATATTGAACCTCTCTTCAACAACCCCAACTCAATAATGGTGGATGCTTATGTAATGGGAGGCACCATTTTTGTTTTGAGATATTAGATTATGGAGATAATTCTTATATCATATCTAGTTTATATCTATATACCTTATTTAAAATCATAGTTTACAAATACATTTATTTCAATTTTTTGTCACCAACTACATTTTCATTTTGACTTCAACAAATTTAAGATCTGTAATTTGACTTCTTCTTTTTTTTATGGTTGAACCTTATGATCATTTAAATACTTGTGAAATCAGCTATATAGAAAAAAAAACATACATGAGTAACTTAAACATACAAAAGAAGCATCACAGGATTACAAGAACCATTCTTTTTACCTGATAGGCTCTTATGCTGAAACGCACTGCCGGCTTGGAGAAAAAGAATCATTACTCTCATCTTCACCTTTTGCATCTTCATACTCAATTGTCCGCATCTTTATCAATGTGATTCCCTACATGTATCACTTGACCAAACAGTTGGATAGAGGCTTTTGTGACTTGATTACTTGCTGGTTCAAGAGTCTCTCTGTCTAAAGCCTGGATGCTACCCTGTCTAGGTGGAGATGAACCTCGTGATTGTGAAGGTATCCGAATACTTGGTTCCACAGGCACATCACTCTTCTCTGGTGCATTAACACCATGTACACTATTGAGAAAAGTTTGATTACCATTGCTTTTTGAGTCAAATAAACCGGCTGTGTGGAAAAAATCATGCCTGGCTCCCTGCATCCCAACAGGAAATAAACTGCTATTGGACACTGAGGGGGATAGACTACCAATGATTCTACTCTTGAATCCTGTCAGTACGCTATCCTCCTTATCATCAGGTAATAAAGAACTTTCTTGCTCGTCGAGTATGTTTCTAATAGAACGTGGAATCTCTCCTTGAGGACCAGCAACAAAGCACTCCACTTGCCAGGGACTAACATCTCTGACCTTCTGCAAAACCTCTGGATCATCCCAGGTAATCTGATAGAAACAAGAAGATTAAGGACAGAAATTAACACAAATCACAAAGAACAACCAATGCTCTTATGCAATAATACTAGCAGAAACAAGAAATCAAAATAACGATTCTTTTTGGATTTCAAGAACAGTAACAGAAGTGATGTCTCAATAACTTTTGGTTGGCTGCATTCATCTTTACACAAAATTATTCAGTTAAATAATAGCAACAGAATATTTTTCTGCTACATTATGTAAAGTTTTTCTTTTAACTCTCTTTATACCTCTCATCGGATTACTATTTCTATGAACATGTCCGTAATGACTACAAATTGTTTCTTGTAAAGTTTTGTATCGATTGATTCACAAATTAAAGAATCTATCTTTTCATATACTCCTGTACATTCATCTCAATACTAAACTAAATTTCTGTTAAATGCTCTTATAATTGTTAAAGACTCCAGTATATAAAGCATAATTGATCTTGCAACTATTTCATAATATCCTTTTTTATATTTTCTTTCATTTAAGGAAACAT